GTATTAGAAAACGTCAACAGTGCATGTGCTGCAACTTCAAGCCCGATTTCGACCTTGATGCAGCCAATATCTCTCAAAATTCAAAACTTGAAATTTGTAGAGATTTTTCGTGGCGCTCCATATCATCTTGAATCATCTAAATTAGAGCTTGGATAAGAGAGTTATGCTCAGATTATGAAACGATGTCAAAATTGTCCAATTAGCTTTGTTTTGCATTTAACGCCTCCATTTGCATTCCAAATCAAAATATAAGAATATTGAGTGTATTTAGGCACCAAATAAATATAAAAGGATAAATATTAAAAGAGACAAATATGACATTTTTCATTCCCATCACTATCCATAATATTGGTCCGATTGAGAGATCTATTGAAGGAAATGAGCATCTTACCATGGTATTAATTGAGATATAAGATTCAAGTACTTGTAGATTGACTTGGAGAGTAATTGATTAGGCTTTGTAGAACCCCGAGTGGCTCCATATATTTTTTTATAAGGATGGTTTCCACGTCAACAAATTGATTGTTTTCTTTTTCTTTTATTGGGCACACTTGTAATTTAATACACACATGGGTAATTTGTGTTTGATAATTTGATTGTTTGATGATTCATAGTGGTTTGGTTTTTTAATTGTTGTTTTTGGATGGCCTCAACAAATTGATGACATCAATCATCATGGTTTTTTCTCAATTTTAATTGATTAATTAATTTGAGAAGAGATAAATGTGGTAGAATTAGGATAAAAATTGATGTACGTTTGAACTTAAAATTGGATTAACTATTCACACCCCTCTAGGTAATGCCTTAATCCCAGATGTTTCATCGTGAGGGAGGATCCATTCCGCTTAAGGGTAACGTTTATTCTTACAATTCAAAAACTCTCTAGATGTTCAATAGTTAGAATTTTACTCTCAAGAGACTTACCCTAGCATGGGAAGACTTCCCTCTATTTATAGGCTCAAAATAGAGTTTGTCTTGGGGATCAAGTAAACCAAAGCTTGCGAGTGACCGCTCAAGCAGCGGGACAAAAATTAGATGGTGGTGGTTGCTTAAATGACTAAGGAATTAAAACCATAGCAGAAGACAAGGAACCACTCGAGTGACCTCAAGACTGCTCGAGCCATCTCAAGACTATTTAAGCAGTCTGAGAGCAACCAAGAGTTTAGTCTGCACTGCACAACTCGTTAGCCTTTCTTGATTTTATCATTTAGTAATCATAAATTGCTATAGCCGAAGGTAAGCAAGTAGAGGGTGGTACCTATTAGTTTTTTTAAGCAGAAAACCAAGAAAATACTTGTCCCCCTGAGCACTAAGGGATGTCGCCCAAATGGGGTTTGATGATTACTCGAACTTCATTTTTTTTTTAAAAGGAAGACAAATCGCATGCCAGGAAGAGAGAGGTTGGGACCTCACTTTCCAACAAGAAGGTATCAAAGATACCCCACTCTCAATACCTTAGTCGATAAAGTCCTTTTCCACGTACAAGATGATAATGTACTTAAATGGCATGAAAAGCTCAAAATGCCTCCCCAGAAATGAGCAAGAGATAAGTATTGTTGATTCCATCATGACCATGGGCATGATGTAAAACCCAAAAAAATTTGAATTTTTATGAAAAATGGTAAAACGATAATTAGTCGCTCTGATACGGGTTGAAAACCCAAATTTTTCTAGNGAGATAAGTATTGTTGATTCCATCATGACCATGGGCATGATGTAAAACCCAAAAAAAATTGAATTTTTATGAAAAATGGTAAAACGATAATTAGTCGCTCTGATACGGGTTGAAAACCCAAATTTTTCTAGAACTCAGATGATGAAACAGACCTAACCGCTAGATTCATCTTTGCAAAATCAAGTTACCCAGTCAATTTTTATTGAATTCTGAGAGAGTCAGATTTTTCTCGTTTTACGATGTGATTGGGTTCGCATTACTAAAATAAAAGTTATTGAAAATTAATTGCAAGCCATGGAAAATAATTTAAATTTAGTTCAAATAAAATATATTGAACTTAAAACGGTACAAANAGTTATTGAAAATTAATTGCAAGCCATGGAAAATAATTTAAATTTAGTTCAAATAAATATGTTGAACTTAAAACGGTACAAGATTTAATTGATTCAGGATGAAATCGGATCAGTAAAAGGCGAGACATGTGACGCGTCGTGGCCAAGCATCCAAGGGATATAAAAAGGAGGAAAATCAGATTTTTCCCCCAATTTGGCTGCTGAATTTCTTTAGAGAGAGAGAGAGAGGGAAGAAGAGAGAAAATCAAGGGTTTCTTCTTCTTCTTCTTGCGATCTAGGGCCAACCTTTAATCAAAATCCTTTGGGCCAAGAACTAAAGTTCATCTATTCGACGAGAGCTACGTCTACGTATCAAAAATCGCAGATTTTGACAAAATCTTAAAGATGAGATTTATGGAAATGAAGGCTTGAAGCTTGATTTGGGTTCGTGGGAGCTTTCTACCACTTGTATCATGCTTCAAGAGGTAGGGTTCTTCTCCTAACTGGGTTTATTTTTAACCTAGCGTTTCATATGAAATGGTTGGCATGACTTGAGATGAAACCTCTTGTCTAAAAGTATTTCTAGTGTAACTAGAGTATGGAAAATGGTATAAGAATGTATAAAACTAATTTTTGCATGAATTGGATTTTGGGTGAAATTGCTTGTTTTGGTAATTTCATGAGAAATGTGATAATTGGGCATGCTATGTGTTTACATTTATGCCTTGAATGTGTTTCATAAAATGCCTATGTTGATTTAGCATGTTGGTTTCATTGAATTGAGTTAGCATGTTGGTTTCATAGAAAATGTTATAACATGCTTGGTGAAAATTGTGAAATGTAATTATATGCTCATGATGACATTGTCAAAATGGTGTATTTCATGTTACACTCATGATATGATGAACATGACATTGAAAATTGTTCATATTGTGTTCATGACATGTTAAACATGATGTGGTAATTGCAATTGAAATCTTGGCTGCACAGTAATACAAAAATGTAATTGTACATTACATTGCATATGCACAGGAAGCATCACATTCGTGGGCATGTGACATGGGTGTGGGTGTGTGCATTATTTTGATCAAACACCATTCTTGGTGGATGATACGTAGGCTTGGAAAATTTACACCAAGGTTCAACTGAGTCGCACGAGTTGTATTGAAAATAAGGTCGGGGTTAGCAAGAAAGGCTAAATTGTCCCACGGGTGGAAGACCTAGTGATTTGGATACACACTTTGTTGGTATCGAGTCCATAAAGTGTGTCAACGTAGGGAGAGCCGTTGGTAGAAGTCCATAAATGTCGTGTCAGTTGGGTGCCTATTGGTGGAAGTCCATAAATACCCACCCCAAGAAAGACCCAGGATGTATAAATGGTCATTGGATATGTAACATCAATAGCGGGGGCTTGGAATGCCCGAATTCATACGCATGAAATTGCATGTGTTATGGGAGCCGATGAAGGCTCTGGTTACATTGCATGTGTGAGTTTCATCTCATTACATGGCATGGCATAGAGAATTCCATTATGAATTTCATATTCTTAAATGGATTGTTTGTTGATTATTAAATTGCATGTGAGCATTTCACATGCATCTAGGTTGGGGAGTAGCTTTTTTAGGAGTTACCCTATTGAGCATAACTCACCCTTTATGGGGACAACATTTCAGGTGCAGGATAAGTGATGGTGGATGGCTCTCACTTGGACCATCATTGATGAAGAAAGATGAGTTGTGGCTTTAAATTACATTNTTACCCTATTGAGCATAACTCACCCTTTATGGGGACAACATTTCAGGTGCAGGATAAATGATGGTGGATGGCTCTCACTTGGACCATCATTGATGAAGAAAGATGAGTTGTGGCTTTAAATTACATATTTGTAAAATCAGTGTGTAATTAATTTTTGGACATGTAATATTGTATAAAGGATTGTAAAACAAACTCATATGAACTTTATTTTGTGTAAAATTTGATGTCATATGAGTTTGGGTAGATGTTGTATGAGATTGGATGACTTGGAATTGAAAATGGATTGAATTGGGGGCAAATCGCGCTCTTCTATCAATATAACACTGATTATCTACTNTATTGTATAAAGGATTGTAAAACAAACTCATATGAACTTTATTTTGTGTAAAATTTGATGTCATATGAGTTTGGGTAGATGTTGTATGAGATTGGATGACTTGGAATTGAAAATGGATTGAATTGGGGGCAAATCGGGCTCTTCTATCAATAGAACACTGATTATCTACCAGTAGAAAAATTCCAAAGAGCTCTTCCACCGGTAGAACTTCAATTATCTACTAGTGGTAGGTCCTCCTAAATTTTCAGAAATTTAAAATAATTTTGTGAAACCTTCGGACCTTGAGTCCTTTTGTTCAAAGGAAGTAAATGGAGTAATATTAAGGACAAATTAATGTATATTAGACCTTGGAACGGTCAAGCGATTGAAATGTACACAGGTTATGCATTTGGGAGTGCCTAGTACAAGGGAGACTCTGCCCAAACTCTGTGTTGTTTATGATCCCGGTAAAGGAGATGTTATGCAGTAGTGTCAGGTTATGCGACATTCACGGATACTTCNTTTGGGAGTGCCTAGTACAAGGGAGACTCTGCCCAAACTCTGTGTTGTTTATGATCCTGGTAAAGGAGATGTTATGCAGTAGTGTCAGGTTATGCGACATTCACGGATACTTTCACAGGTTGATGGGTGATCAATGGATTGACAAAGAACTCCCGATTTTAAGGGCGTCACACATGATACAAAAGGTTGCATCACTCTAAAGGACCAAATAGAGAAGCTTATCCAGTGAGTTGATTTGGGAAGGTTTATGGGAAGAAATTGTGGAGAAGAAAGGGCTCCTCCCATAGAACCCCATGAGCATCAACAATCGCTAGTGAAGATAAACGCCATCCCTGTAGGGCCATCATCTAGAGGNGACCAAATAGAGAAGCTTATCCAGTGAGTTGATTTGGGAAGGTTTATGGGAAGAAATTGTGGAGAAGAAAGAGCTCCTCCCATAGAACCCCATGAGCATCAACAATCGCTAGTGAAGATAAAGGCCATCCCTGTAGGGCCATCATCTAGAGAAGAAAATAACTTTACCATAAGGGCTTATGCCAAAAGAGTTCGATCAGATGCTGATGAAATCAGCCTTGTACATCCAAGAAAGGTACCTTGTAAAATCCCACCTATCACTTTTACGGATGAGGACCTCAAAGGAATTAGCTTCCCACATAATAACCACCTAGTAATTGTTGTTATTGCTTCAAACTATATTGTGCAAAGAGTCTTAATCGATAGTGGCAACCTAATAGTTATAATCCTTTTCAACGTCTTTAATCAGCTAGACATTGAAAGGCATAACCTTAGACTAATAGCTTCTCTGGTTGGTTTCTCAATATAGAAGGCTTATCAATTGGGAGCAGTGTCTATCCTCATCACCTTGGAGAAACGTCCTCTTCAGGTTACCCACTTGGTAGATTTTCTAGTAATGGATTGTCCTTCTGCCTATAACATCATCCTATGTGGCCAACACTCAATGCATTACAGGTGATACCTTCAACATACCATTTCTTCTGTTGCCCACTAAGGAGGGAGTGGGTGAGGTAAGATTAAATGAAATAGTCACCAAAGAATGCTAAATGGCTTAAACCAAAAATAGCCCAACCGTGGAGATGTGATAAGTAGACAATTTGGACCCAAGAGACTTAGACGAAGAAGAATGCCTGGGGGAGAAATTGACCCCAACAATCCTATGAAAAACACCAAGCCAAGTAACATACACAGGGTCAAGGCTCTCCCCTCCCCCCCAAACATCAGGAGCAAAATTGAAGATTTCTTACATAGCAATTTGGATGTGTTTGCTTGGAGCCATGAAGACATGCCAAGAGTTGATGCTCATATGATGGTCCACAAACTTAATGTGGATCCCTCATTTAAGCTAGTTAGATAGAAGATGAGGGCCTTCGCTCCAAAAAAAATTTAGAGCTATTGTAGAAGAGAAAAAAAAAAAAAAAAGCTCCTAGAAGCAAGGTCCATTAGAGAATTTCTATACCCAGAATGGGTGGCCAATGTTGTGTTAGTTAAGAAGCACAACGAGAAATGGAGCCTCTGTATATATTTCATAGACCTTAATAAGACTTGTCCAAAAACTTGCTTTCCCTACCAGAAATCAAGCCATTGGTGGATGCAACAATAGGATTCCAATTCTTGACTTTTAGGGATATTTCTAAGGTTATAATCAAATTCAGATGCACCTAGAAGATCAAGCGAAGACCTCTTTTATCATTGAGCAAGGACTATACTGTTACTAGGTGATGCCGGTTGGCTTGAAAAATGCATGAGCAATGTATCAACTCATGGTCAATCACATATTCAAGGATTTAATTGGGAGAACCATGGAGGTTTATGTCAACGACATGCTAGTAGAAATCCTGGTTAGAAGAAGATCACATTGCTCGACTAGATGAAACTTTCCAAGTCTAAAGGAAGTATCAGATGAAGCTAAACCTAGCTAAATGCACCTCTGTGGGTATCCTCTGGGAAATTTATAGGTTTTATGGCCTCCCAAAGAGGGGGTAGAAGCAAACCCACTTAAAATCCAAGCCCTCTTAGAGATACACCCACCTCACAACACAAAGGAGGTACAATGCTTAATAGGAAGGTTGGCAACACTCAACAGGTTTGTCTCTAGATCCAATGATAAGCATTTGTCATTCTTCAAAACATTGAGGAAATCCTTTAAGTGGACTCCAAAGTGCACGTTAGCTTTCAAAAAGCTAAACAAATATTTTAGGGTTGCACCACTCTTATCTGGGGCAGTACTTGGAGAGAAACTATATATTTATCTTGCTTTATCTGAAGTAGCCACTGGCTCTGCATTGGTGAAGGAGGATCAAGGAGTTAAGATGCTAGTGTATTAGACCAGCCAGATTATTAAAGGAACTGAGACCAAGTACTCAAGGCTAGAAAATGTGGCCCTAGCCTTAGTAACAGCTATTCAAAAGCTACGTCCTTATTTTTCAAGCTTATATCATCATAATCATGATAGATTCTCCTATCATACAAATCCTACAGAGGCCCAAGGTGTGGAAGGTTAGCTGATTAGTAGTTAACATTAGCACATTACTATGCTCTTTTAATACTAATTATACTTTGATGGAGTTTAAACAATGGCATTTTAGGCCATAATTTGTACAAGGGACTAAAGGCGATGAATATCAAACTTTCATGCAACACCAGCATATTCTGGAGCAAAATTGGAAAAGTTTAGACCAAGCCTACCACGTTCGAACGCCAAATAATGTTCGAACATCCACTTGCAGCCCAGACTGCTAAAAGATGGCGTGTTGCAGCCAAGAGAGAAGACTCTGAGGTACTTGAGTACCTTGTTCAAACGCCAACTCACGTTTGAACATCGACTTGTTTTGATTGAAGACCAGAGTGATGAGTACAAAATGCCAAGTTCATTATGAAGTGTGGAAGTGGGCTTCCACAAAAGACCATAGACTACTTGAGTGATATGGTCAAATCACATCTGGCATTCAAACGCCCTTAAAGCAAAGTTAGAAGATACGTTCAAACGTCGGACCACGTTCGAACGTCCATAAAGTCAAAACAGAAACAACGTTCGAACATTAACTCACGTTCGAATGTCCTCCACAGACTACCTACAGAGTAGTTGGTTTTCACTTAGACTGGGTGGCATACACTATTCATCATCTCTCATCTTCCCCCCTCCCCTTCCATGCCTATAAATACTCCCATTAGGGGAGCTTCAAGGGGAAATTTTTTCCCTTGTAAAGTAGGGAGCTAGAGCTTGGTTAATAGGTTTAAACTACACCAAGAACTGGTAAGGAATTTGAAAGCAGGCTTAGACTCCCACTCATTTTGATTAATCTTAGATGTATGTTATATTTACTTGTATCAAGAGAGTCAGTTCATTTCTTGGTTGAGGAAGTAACCCTCCACTTATTGGTTGAGGAAGCAACCCTCCATTTGTTGGTTGAGAAAGCCACCCTCCAAAAGTGACTAGTTTTCTTCTACTTTTATTATTGATGTCTTTCACTTCCATTGCTTGAGCTTTCTTCTTCCTTAGAGGAGTGAAACTCTTTCACTTTTCTAGAGCTTTACCAAAGTCGTGAAAGGTGGAACGTGATTAACTTATTCTTTGGTGAAGATCGGCTCTTCGCTTATTGTACTTTACCTTGTAAGTTCTCTACTTAGAGAGATGAGTATCACTCACTTTTCTAGCTTTACCCAAGTCATAAAGAGTGAGTAGTTCATTATTCATNAAGTTCTCTACTTAGAGAGATGAGTATCACTCACTTTTCTAGCTTTACCCAAGTCATGAAGAGTGAGTAGTTCATTATTCATTCTTTAGTAAGAGGTGATGAACATGTATTGATTATTCGAAAGTTATATTTGTGCATTTCCTTTATGCTTTAATGCATTATATTTCACTTACTGAATGATTGAATGCATCTAGCAAAGCTAAGGTACTTTGTATAACTATGGGTTCTTTCTATGTCACGGATGACTTTTGCATGGAAAGACCCGTTGGTTCAAGGCAAGTAACTCAGCTAGATCTTCATGACACATTTCAATCTTANATGACTTTTGCATGGAAAGACCCGTTGGTTCAAGGCAAGTACCTCAGCTAGATCTTCATGACACATTTCAATCTTCACTATTATTGTGCTTTATTTAAAGAATGGAACATTAATGTCATGATTGGATGCCTTGTAGAAACACTTGCTTGTTTGTAAACGAGTTAAATCTCAGCACAGGCAATTCTTGTCAACTTCTAAAAAGGCATCGGAATCATGTGCTTAATTCTCACAGTTCATTTTTACCTTTCGATTAACTTGTTGTTGACACGGCAGTTAATTGAGTTATAAAACACAAGTATAATAAACCGGATGGTTAATTACATGTTCTGATCCTCAAGCTAAAGGGTGATTGTTTTATATTTGAATTTATCTTATAGTTTGTCTAGAAAACTCTTGGAAATAATCTTCTATTCTACTCAAAGAAATCCCATAACTTCAAACTCTCAAGGTTTCCAATTACTTGATTTCCATTACTGNCTTCAACATACCATTTCTTCTGTTGCCCACTAAGGAGGGAGTGGGTGAGGTAAGATTAAATGAAATAGTCACCAAAGAATGCTAAATGGCTTAAACCAAAAATAGCCCAACCGTGGAGATGTGATAAGTAGACAATTTGGACCCAAGAGACTTAGACGAAGAAGAATGCCTGGGGGAGAAATTGACCCCAACAATCCTATGAAAAACACCAAGCCAAGTAACATACACAGGGTCAAGGCTCTCCCCTCCCCCCCAAACATCAGGAGCAAAATTGAAGATTTCTTACATAGCAATTTGGATGTGTTTGCTTGGAGCCATGAAGACATGCCAAGAGTTGATGCTCATATGATGGTCCACAAACTTAATGTGGATCCCTCATTTAAGCTAGTTAGATAGAAGATGAGGGCCTTCGCTCCAAAAAAAATTTAGAGCTATTGTAGAAGAGAAAAAAAAAAAAAAAAGCTCCTAGAAGCAAGGTCCATTAGAGAATTTCTATACCCAGAATGGGTGGCCAATGTTGTGTTAGTTAAGAAGCACAACGAGAAATGGAGCCTCTGTATATATTTCATAGACCTTAATAAGACTTGTCCAAAAACTTGCTTTCCCTACCAGAAATCAAGCCATTGGTGGATGCAACAATAGGATTCCAATTCTTGACTTTTAGGGATATTTCTAAGGTTATAATCAAATTCAGATGCACCTAGAAGATCAAGCGAAGACCTCTTTTATCATTGAGCAAGGACTATACTGTTACTAGGTGATGCCGGTTGGCTTGAAAAATGCATGAGCAATGTATCAACTCATGGTCAATCACATATTCAAGGATTTAATTGGGAGAACCATGGAGGTTTATGTCAACGACATGCTAGTAGAAATCCTGGTTAGAAGAAGATCACATTGCTCGACTAGATGAAACTTTCCAAGTCTAAAGGAAGTATCAGATGAAGCTAAACCTAGCTAAATGCACCTCTGTGGGTATCCTCTGGGAAATTTATAGGTTTTATGGCCTCCCAAAGAGGGGGTAGAAGCAAACCCACTTAAAATCCAAGCCCTCTTAGAGATACACCCACCTCACAACACA